TAAATTATAAATAAACTTCACCCACCTTCACAAAATAAACTTAGAATTTGGATCAAACACCATATCGATTAAATTACGTATTCCACAACAATTAATAAGTAGTAAAAGAAACTATCCAAAAGAATTATCTGAAGGGCGTCTTCAGGTGCATAAGAGTATGTTGTTCATGAGCAAACCCCATTGTATGGTACCCGTAATGTTCCATCATACAAAAAAAAACTAAATTTTGGGTATAATCTCTAAATTTAAAAAATAAAAGTAACATAATATAACAAGCAGAGCAAAATTAAATAAAAAAAAATACTTACACATAGTCTTATTGTTTACCATATTAACTAAAAAATACGACACACAATATGATTTTTATTTAATATTTATTATTCCTCTGCTTCTTCTTCCTTCCCATTTTGTTTTCTTCTTTTTATTCTATATCTCAAAATCAATTCCTATAAAATATCCCTCCGTTCAGCCTCATTTACCTTTTATATCATTGTATTTAACATTAAAAATATTTTTATATTTGTATAATTTTTTGCACAAGTAACATTGTAATAGTATTATAAGACATTAATAAAAGTATTTTTGTCATTTTCTCTTAATTTGTATTATATTTGAATATAATAATTTATATTCAAAGATCGACATGCAAAAAATAAATAAAACCTTAGAGCCGGACGAAGGGACTATGAAAAACACATCTTCTTCAAATATATAGGATATGAGATTTCTCAAATAAACTATAAAAATATTCAAAAATGTATAATACCATAATTATATATACACAAATCTAAATCATTTTCAAATTAAATTTTTAAAAAAATAGAAAGTCCAAAAATATCTTAATTATATATATATTCCAAACAAAATTTTAAAATTCCAAAATGAATGAAATTTCCATAAAAACAAAAAAAAAAAAAAAAAAAAAAAAACTTTTAATTTTCTTTAATACATTCCAAAAATTCTTTAACTTTCATTCCTTTTTCACTGGTGTGGCCAAGTCAATTGTGACACAATTCTACCTCATACTCTGCATCTACAACAAAAATTTTGTTATGGGCATTATGAGTAGTCATCTATAACATACATTCCTTTTTACCTCGAGCAAAAACCATGGTTCCTTTATTGATTTTTTAATGCATCCTAAGGTTATTGGATATCCTTTATAGTCCAATTGCCCTATTGAAATTAGTTTTCTCTTCAAGCTTCGAATATGTCTAACTCCATGCAGCCTCAATTTGCATTCATTCAAAATCTTGATGCGAATATCTCCTTTGCCCCGATTCTCAATGGGTCATTATCTGCAAGATAGACTATGTCGAAAATTCCAAGAGTGTAACGATCCTATGAACAAATATTTTTTCCTGGAGAATTTTGTTCTGTATTTATATATATATATATATACTAAATATAAACATATTTCACGGAAGGCGCGGGTTTTTGACCTAGTCACCACCCTAATTGACGCCCCTCCGTCTCACTTTAGTTGTCTAATTTTCTATAAATACATAGATCTAGACAAATTAATAATTAGTAAATTTTCGTCCCAACTCAAATTATCATTTTATTATTTTCATTTGTTATCATTTTCTATTTTAGTGAAAACTCCATGATCCTCTTGGTAAATTTTTGTGTTAACTTATATTATCATTTTATTATTTTCATTTGTTATCATTTTCTATTTTAGTGAAAACTCCATGATCCTCTTGGTAAATTTTTGTGTTAACTTATATATATATATATTGTATGAAATTTTAAATTATTCACTTTTAATAAAATAGTTTTTTCAAATTTTTACTTTCAAAATTTTGGATCTATTCAGTGTCAGTTTCATATTTGGGGTCTATTTTGTGCAGGGTTCATCGAGTTGCTCAAGTAACCCAAAATAAAAATCAAATTGACCAAAATCTAACTTAAAGAATTCGTTGCATGTTCGGGTTGAAATTATTTTAATTATAAGCATAGGTTAATCCAATAATCCAACACAAACACAATTCGAAAATAGGAATTACCACCTCTATTTCAAAGGCCGCCTTCACAGTATTTCCTAAATATGTTCCAAAACTTTGTCTCCGGTAGTCACAACTCTGCTGTAGCGTAGCCCTGGCAAGGTTGTCGGAATTATCGTTAAAAATAATGCTTCCGGAATCGCCTGTCAGAGGAGGTTGTATCGTTGGTGTCTCAATGTCACTTTCTTTTATCACAGGGTAAATTATATAACACCATAACGTATTTTTAGTAAAAATGCACAAAACACCTTGTGTTTTATTTATTGCGTGAAACCCCTTGTATTAATATAAAGTTTGCACGAAACACCCTTCTTATCCAAAATTGATATTTAGTACTAAATAAATACCAAAATTATGCAAGTTTTATACAAATAAAAATAAAAAGCTCAAAATATCTTAAATAATTATTTTGCATTAAATAAATAAATAATTTATTAATCCTTCGTTTTTATAGTTTTTGGAGATAAATTGTTGTCTGATTTTTATAAAAATTATAAAAATAAACAATTGATCAATTGTTTATTTATTTATTTTATTCAAAAAAAATTATTTAAGATATTTTATGTTTTTTATTTGTATAAAACTTACATAATTTAGGTTTTATTTTGAACCAAACATCAGTTTTGGACAAGGAGACTGTTCTTGCAAACTTTCCATTAACAAGGGGTTTCACGCAATAAATAAAACACAGACTGTATTTTTTGTAAAACACAAGGATGTGTTATATAATTTACCCTTTATTATATACCAAATTGAGTCTTTTTTTTCAATTTTATATTGCTTATTATTTACTTGAATTTATCTTATTCTGATTAGTAATTTATTAAATTAGTTGTGAGCTTTGTGTCGATCGAATTAAAGACATGTTTCTTCCTCCATTCATTTATTTGAGCTTTTATTTTTGTTTAGTCAGACAAAGCTTTTGTTGTTCTTTATCTCTACAGAACTCTATCATTAACATGAACTTGAAGGCTGTGATGCAACACTGATAGGTTTAATCCATTTAAAATTCAAGAAAAATGAAAATCAAGACATATATAATTCATTTTGAGTCGAGGCCACATCTCAATGCTTGAATTGGACTAGCATTAGTGTATTATTAATTTTTGTTTTCTCTTTTTAGCTCATTGGTTTGTGTATAAAATATATAGGTACTAGTTTTGTTTGCATCATCAATCCAAGAAGTTCAGTATTACAAAGTCCCTTGAATGCTTCTCCAGTCCTTGATTATTTTTTCGGTTCGCCTTCAAATACAAGCTTTGCAAATGATTTGGTTATGTTTAAGATTTCAATGTTAGTTTGAATTGAAAGTTATGCTCATAAGGGTATTCGTCTCAGTGAAGATTAACTTTTTATTACCGACTGGCAAATTGAAGTGTTTTCGCTTTTCCTCTTTTTTATGAGGACATGGAGTATTATGTTTCATTTTTCAAATTTCGAAGAATTATGTGTTAATGTGTGTGTATATAGTTGTTGGTGCACATGAAGCAACTATTGCCTAGTCTTCTCTGAACGCCAAAATGACAGAAATTGTGACTCAAAAATAAAGTGTCTTTGTTTTCATTATCAATCATTCTAAAATTATATATTAAATTATTCCAAAATTTTATAATTTAGAATTTCGAACATCAATTACCATAAAAAAAAAAACAACAACAAAGAAAAATTCGAGTGTACACCTCGAAATCAAACATAACTTCTTTTCTTATACAACATTATAAAATACCATGCATGCCTTTGAATTTGTAATCCGTAATAAATCTCATATCTAGTGAATTATTATTTGACTTGGTCGCAACTCTAGATCGTTGTCTAGTATGTCCTTCTAGTGGTGGAATAAGTATAATGCTAGTCGTTTGTTTCAAACTATTTGCTAAATCATTTTTCATTTTTGTTTTCCAATATCAATATCTAAAGCTTCCTTCGCTTTATTACATAGTTTTGAAGTTCTCTAATTAAACATGTGAAAATCGTGCATAGAGTATTAAAGTCGAACAAAATTGATTTGTTAACACATTTGGGATTCCTACAATTCTAGTATGAGGCATTCTAAACAAGTTCTAAAATCACCATCTAAAACTCAAGTACTGGTCATTGCACGAAATGTCCTCTGAGCCAGCTCAAGTACTTTGTCGGACATATGTAATATGAAATTGAGTCCAAATTTAATTTAGCCCAAAGATTAAACTTAAACTCAGTCAATGAGACTTTATAAATAAAATAAAATAAAAGAAGATAAAGGAATATGCAAGATGGAGAAGGTATCACAATGCTTTCAATGCTTCGATTTTAAATTTGCTGTCTGGTTGCCACTTGCCTAAGTTTTAAATTAGCTTTCAATGCTTTGATATTTACTATTACAATTTTGAACAACAATAAACAAACAATGCAAATCTACCATATGTGTTCCAAATGTTCATTATAAAGAGTAGAGGAAGAAGCTTGTCAGAGCATATACAATTACTCCTGTTGAGACTCTCGTTTGCGAATATATGATTAATGGCTGCGTTTCCATAACAGTTCGACCTTTTAGGTGAGTATGATTAAAATCATTCAGCATCCGACAACTCCTATTAAAATCAAATATATAGAAAAAAAATTTGAATTTGTAAAAATAAAGAGTATGATTAAATACGAATTATTTAATTGACCCTCTAAAAATAAAGAATTGTATTGTAAGTCTTACAAAAATAAAAGGTATGATTGAAGATAGTCTCGCTGAAGTCCGAAAATTGCCACGTAGAATGTCACATCCAATGTACATCCAGATGGATTTAACTCAGTCCAAGTATGGTAGCTTGTAATGGAACCCAAGGTTGAATTTTCTTCAAGTTGCAACCCGATATTGATAAGGTGGGTTCCCAATCCATTAAATGCCCGCTTCAACACCCAACCACCTAAGGCCCTACTCGGACATACAGGCTTGAGATATTATCACTGCAACTCATGTGCTCCACACCATTGCCCATTTTGTATCCCTATAAATACTCCATCCAATTCACCTTAGTTCTCACCCCCAATCATAAGAACTGAAGCTCAAACATATATACATTGTCGCAGAAGTTATCTGAATTACTTAGCAATGGCTACTTCCAAAACAGTTGCTGTTCTTATCCTTTTCTTGGCAGCATTCCTTCTGATTGCCTCCGAAGTGGCTGCTAGAGATCTGGCTGAGAACACTGATGCCACTGAACAACAAGGTAAGTGCTTTTTATTTTGCAAAATTGATCATGTCATGTCCTTTTTCTTTCTTTTAAATTGTTAGAAATAATTATTGTAATTGTTTGTGGAATTAACAACAAACAGTCAAGGAAAGTGAAGCTGAAACTGACCAGTACGGATATGGAGGTGGGAGATATGGTGGTGGAAGATACGGCGGCGGCGGAAGATACGGCGGCGGAAGATACGGCGGAAGATACGGCGGAAGATATGGAGGCGGAGGAGGAGGCCGATATGGCGGTGGCTACGGGTGCCGGTACCGCTGCGGATATCGCTGCTGCACTGCCGCTGAGAAGGCTGAGTTCGATGCTCAGGCCGAGACCCAAAACTAGACTTGTTTAAGACCAAGGCAAAGCCAGAGAGAGTACGCATGAATGCATATATATATATATATACATATGTATGTATGTATGTGTCTTGTGGTTTTCTCGACGAGTTTCCTTTCTTATGGTGAATAAATAATAGTGTGCGAGAGATAATGCATGTATGTATGGATCTGCGGTCATGATCTATCTGGCCACAGCCACTCTCATGTATGACTACCTCATTATTGTGAAATTATACGGCTTTCAAATTTATTTGCTTTTTTTCTTTTTCTTTTTCTTTGAAATTTAAAATAAAAAATATTTATTCATTCAAAGTATGATATCTATATATCACAACATAATTTATTTTAATTTAATGTTTTACTATTTTCAAATGGAAAAAGAAAGTTCTTGATGTTGGTTTGAGATATGACAAGATTGAAAAACAAGACTGAATATTGAGGCAAAGGACGACAACAACTTATCAAATGATAAGAAGATCCAATGACAGATTGTCCCCATCTAATATTATCCTTTTTCTCTGCTGTTGGTGAACTTACATAGTTAAAACGTGTATTAGAAAATAAAATATAGGTACATGGGAAACTCAAATCTCACTGCAAAAAATTAGGAAAATAATATCATTAGTTATAAGATAATATCTAACTCTATATAATATGGTGTTTTTTTCAGGAAAAATCCCAAACATATCTTGATTTGTTGGAAAAAAATCAAGTAATTCAAATGTAACGTGACAAAAGCTGACACGTCCGTCACCTAGACTATGTTTGCACTGAAGCCAGAGATAGCTTTCCCCTTTGCACAACAAACTGAGTATACCATATAACATGGGAGAATTATGCAAAGAACACAAATAGGGACAAGAGACTCGCACACATGAGAGAGACTATGGCCGAGAATCTGAAGCCGAACTGTCCGCCCGTGACACAAATCTCCCATCACAATATATATATATATATATATATATTTCATTTGAGTCTACATCATTTTCATTTTTTTTTTTTTGAATTATTGAATTAAATAATTTTATATTAATTATTAATAAGTAATACTATATACGTGTCTCATTTTAAGAGTCTCGTTTACTTTTATTTTTTGAGTATTGATATTTGAATATTAATTATTATATCGAAATATTGTACAAATTAAGAAACAATTGCAAAAATATTTGTTAGTGTCTTATAATAAAGTCATTTCTACAAAAAAAAAAATTATACAACGAAAATGACGGGCAGAGGGATAGTCATTAACATTATTCAATGATTTCATAATTATTATAGTTAATAAAATTATAATTAATACTTATATTAACCAAATAAAAGATATTATTGTATTTATCAAAATTATTATTATATTATTTGTAAAAGTATATTAAACAAAAATTGATATATTTTTTTGGGAGAAAAAATAAATTGCCCACCGTGGGGCTCGAACCCACGACCACAAGGTTAAGAGCCTTGCGCTCTACCGACTGAGCTAGACGGGCAGTTTTTCTTGAGCTTCGACTTTGTTTTATATCATTTTTAGGCTTTGTTTTTATTTTTATTTTTGATTTTGTTTTCTTTATTACTCTTTACATAACTTTTCATTTATCAATTTAGTATGTATAAATCAAAATTTCTATTCTTTTTTTAGAAAAAAATATTTTTTAATTAAATATCAATATATTCTTATTTTTTACTTTTTCACATTACTTCTCAAAGAGTAAAATGGACGTTATATTTCTTTATTATACTAAATATCTATAAAATATTGATTTAATTTATTCTGCAGACAAAAATCAAACAGAAATTTTACTAGTGGGGGAGTATTATATTTGGAGAATCGCAATTTAAAAATTGACATGGGAAAACAATTGAATAATTTTTATAAACATTTGAACCTCTCTATTTTTTTATAAATCTAATGTATGTTAATTATAAATAAATGTATATTTTTTATTTATTTGTATTATACAAAATTTTATCTTTTCCAAAATGTGATTAAAATCATCAATTTCAGTGTAAATATAAACAATTTTAATCATTTTTTCTCTTGTACAAAACTAACAGCAACTACTAATGTAGACTTAACGGACTGTGATGTGGACCAATACAGTCGTGTTCAATACAAACCTCATATATATAATCGGCAGGGTTTACCCTTGTAAGGAAAAGCTTTGTCTCATTGAATAGAGGATACTCAGTTTCGCACAACATTGAAATGGAACATTTTGAGAATAACATAAAATAGTAGAGGATCTAGTCGATTTAGGCTGCTTCCCTTCTATAGTTGCGCTAGCGGCTACTACCAGCCCACTGTCCCACGCATCTAACCAGCTCGCGTGGTTCATCCATTCAACAGAAAACTCTCATTTTTCGATCGCCACAACTCTTACTTTTTAGGGATTCTGGAGCTCTAGTAGGTTTGACTCTTTTGTCGAAGCTAATAACAAGTGCTCCAACATGACCCTCGCCTCACCATGCATAAACTCCCTCAATGAGTGTGCACTGCTTCGTGCCAATTTTCATCTCTCCAGAAACAAGTTTTACATGAATTTTTTTGCCGAGAAGGTTGGGGATTGGCTGATCGAGAGAGAAATGAAGTAAAGTATTTGGGATTGGCTGATCGAAATCCGAACCGTGAGCAGATATTTAGGCCAATTAGCCATCGAACAAGCCTCCTCGTAAAACCAGCTAGCTCCCAGAAGGTTTTGAACCCGGCCGTGTCCTAATTGAACACAACAGTGTTTTCGATGACATTTTGGTGTGAATTACATATACAAAGTTGTCATGTTGGTTCAGATTAGATGTCACATCACAGTCTAATATGTTTATGTCAATAACTATGGTTAGTTTTGTAAGGATGTAAACAAAAATATGTTTAAAATTGTTCACATTAAAACTAAAATTCATGAATTTGTTATTATGGAACCTAAATTGATTCATTTTAGTCTCAATAAAATTAGATTTAATTTATAATTGTATATAGTTTATTGAGATATAAGTTTTAAAATATTTAAGCTATATTCAATTTTTTTTTTAATTTTATATATATATATTCATATTTTAAAATTATCAATAACATCATAATTAATAAAATAATACTATCATTATTCATTGTGGTTAAGTCCCTAAACTATACTACTCCCTTCGTCCCATAACAAAGTATTTATTTTTTTATTTTAGTCTGTCCCATAACAAAGTATCCATTTCTTTTTTTTTTAAGTGATTGTACTATCTAGCTAACATTATAAATATTCTTACAACTTACAATATGTTACACAAATGTCATTACATTTTATATCACACATACTATTAAGGTTATTTTAGTCATTTCTACTTTATTCTTACCACATCCCAATATAATACTAATATTTCTAAAATTACGTGCAAAAAACAAATGAATATCTAGTTATGGGACGGATGGTGTATTTTAAATATGGTGTGATAAAACAAACATTCAACGTGTTAATCGTTTTCGGACAAAAAAGCATTATTTTGTCTAGCAAAATATGATATCAAATTTTTACTTAAACTAGTGATAATACTCGTGCGTTGCACGATTTGTATAAATTGTTGAAATAATATTAAACAAATAATTAATTATATTTACAAATATTTTATAGAAAGATACAAACATTTTAAGACTAATCAACAATTAATATAAAAATTTACTATGTGATCATTTTTTATTGTGTCCCATGAAGATATAATTAGTACTATAAATATATAAGCACAATTTATAAAAGTGCCAATAAACTTCAATACTAATTATATATGTTTTTCTATTATATATTTAAAGAAGAAATTAGTATGCTACAATAATTAACAATGAAATATATTTGTACGTGTAAAATATATCTAATTTTGTAAAGATACATTGAGATTATTTATGTGACAATTTCAAGTTCATACTTCCGATATCATCTTTAATAGTCAAATTAGCATCATATCTACATTAAAAGTTGTGTATAAGATATATAAAAAAATTACAATGTATTATATATATATAGATATACGATATATTATCTTAAATTTACTTCAACGGTATCGTTGTAATGCAAACATACAATTTCGTGAAGTTGGTTTTACCTAAATTTATACAATTGTCAAATGTGACAAGTTCAAATATTCTAAACATCAATATAGTCAATTTGGCCAATTACCAATAGTGCGGAAAAACTTAACAGTCATATAAGAAATAAAAAATTTAACATTTTAAGTTGAAAAAAATTATTAAAAGTACTTCTATGTTGTACAATAATTATATAACAATCTATTTAAAATAATTAGTATAAAGAAATGTGATATAATTAAGTTATTTATACACATTAGAACAACTACTAAAGTAAACTAGAAAATATATTTTAAAAACTTACTTTTAATATTAATTTAACATTAGTAGATATTTATTTATTTTAATTTCATACCGTAAATTTTAGTAAATAAGCAAAAAGTAATTTAATACAATAATAGTATTTATAGTAACTAAGATATTAACTACCATTATTCAAACTTATTTTCTTTAAATAAAATTAGAAAATTAACTTATAAATAAAAGTATTATATATGATTTTAACACAAACTATTTAAATTTTAAAAATTGACTAAAAATTGTTTAAAATTATTCAAATATGTATAATTGAATATAATATACATTATAGATAAAAGTTAACAATAAATTTATATATTAAATATAAAATAATATATTTTAATACTTGTGAGATTGAATATCTTTTGAAAAACTATAAGATAAAAAAATTAAAAAATAAAAAGAACTAATATAAGAATAAAAAATGATATTTGAATCTAGAAATTATCCATTATAAATATTAAATTTACCAAGAAAAAAACTAACCCTAAAATAAATAAGATCTGGCAAAATATATATAAAAAAAATATCATATTAAAATATTTATACATGATAAAAAAGTATAAAAATAAATTCGGTGAGTAAATATCTTCTCTAAAATAGTAAGATAATAAAAATGATGTAACGGGGTAAACTGTATTTTTAGTCCCGTAACTGGACCCCCTTATTATTTTAGTCCCGTAAGTGGAGCCTGTCGCAAACTAGTCCCATAAGTGAAAAATTTTCGCTGTTTTAGTCCTCCGGCGCCGGAGATGCCTGCATGCTCGCCGGAGGTGACGTGTTCGCCAGGTGTCGCTGAGCTGGCGGACACGTGGATTTTTTTTTTTTCATTTTTTAAAATTTTTTTAAATTTTTTTTTTAATTTTATTTGTATTTTTTTATTTTTTTTATTTGGTCCA